CCCCGAGGTGTAGACTAACCAGAGCAGAGGTGACTGGGAAGAGGCCTATGGACAGCTTAGGGGTGGTGGGGAGCCTGGGCTTTGTCCCAGGAGCCACTGGAAGCCCTTAGGGGCTCTGGGCTGGGAAGGGACGAGTAGGGAGACTCTGCTGGCTGCTGTGGGGATGTCCCCGCCCCACCCCAGCACATTGCTAGGAAACCATCTCCCAGGCTTGCTGTGGCCACAATCCCCGAGGCCAGTCCCTCTTCACGGAGGCCAGCCAGGAGGAGGCCTCGGCGCCCTGGCTGTTCATTCCTGCCCTGTGCTGATGGGACAGGGCAGGTCACCTGCTGCAGCTTCCATTGTTTGTCCTCACGGAAGGCGAAATGCAGCAGCTGGTTGTTGCGGGGCATCTTCAGGTTCACATCCTGCCGAGTGGGAGCGTGAGCTACGAATCACCTCCTGCTTCCGGTCACCCAGAGCCCTCAAGCCAGGGCAGAGGTGAGGGGTGGCAGACCTCAGCTGCCCACGGGGCAGAGGGCCTCCCAACACTGTGGTATTTGCAGGGTGGACAGTGTGGTCAGGAAACAGGAAGTCAAGCTCAAGGGGAGCCGCAAAGAAACGAAAGGGAAAAGGGGAGAAAGGGGAAGGGAGAGAGGAAGGTGGTGGTGTGGTGGCAGGCAGTGCGCTCGGCTGTGGAGGAGAGGCCCTCCTGCACCTCGGTCCCGGGCCCAGGGTCGGGCCAGACTGGAGCTCTGAGGCTGGTGAGTCAGCGAGGACCTGGGGCCAGCCTGCTCCTGCCAGTGCCCATGCTTCATTGGGCCCAGACCCCTGGTGAGCCGAGCGCAGAGCAGCCCTTCCCACGCCTCTCACTGGACCCGCACGCCAAACCACACAGATCTGGGGGTTGCTGTCATTTCACAAATGAGGGAACTGAGGCCCAGAGAGGTCAAGGGTCTTCCCCAGAGTCATGCAGTTGGCTGGTGGTGGACCCCCACCCAGGCAGGATGGGAGGGGGAGGCTGGGGCACTCACCGCCTGGCTGAGGGCGTCGCCTTGCAGAGTCAGCACACCCTTCACCTGGTCTGTGCTGTAACATGCGGAGGTCAGAACAGCACCTCCTGCCCCCACACTGCTGGCCCTCTGAGCTGCTGCTCTGGCAGCCCGAGAAGGAACCACGCTGCTCCCCCACCGCCTGCGACTCAGGAGCCCAGTCCTGGTTCATGCAGCCCAGGCTCACCCACAGCTGCCCAGGACGAAGTTCTCCTGCTTGGTTGGCCCCTCAGTGCCCGAGCCCGGCAGAGTGAAGCGGAGAGAGGCCTCCTGCAGAGTGGAGGGAGCTGAGTGAGGCTCAGGCGAGGCCCGCCCAGTGCTCCTTCCAGAATTCCCTCCATTTCCAGGTGGGCTGGGAGGACCAAGGTGGGCTCTCCTCACCTGGCACCTGGGCTTGGTGGGGGGCACAGTAGGCCTACCCAAGCCTCCAGGGCCTCTCCCCAGCCTGAGGCTCAGGGGCTGAGTTTGGTGCCTACTCATTCCAAATTCCTAGTGCCTACGGTGTGTCCAGCCAGGGATTTGGAACAGACTCAAGGGCTCAGGGGCTCCCGTTTAGTGAGGTGCTGGCATGGAGGGGGCAGGATTTCTGGGAGCAGTAGTCATGGTAACCCACAATTCTGGGCCACACCAGGCACTGCAGTGGAGGGATTTCAGAGTCAGAGCCACCACAGCCCTGGAGGGGGGCACTACCATCTCCAGTTTGCAAATGAGGAAAGGGAGGCCCAGAGAGGTGGAAGAACTTGCCTGAGATCAGTCACACTGCTAGGGAGAAACAGGGCTCAGGCTCTCAGATTAAACGTCGTCCAACCCACCCAAGCCCAGCCAAGGTCGGCCGAGCCCTGGGGCAAATCCCAGGCCCCTCCTGAGCCCCTTTTCAGGATTCGGAGCCCCCTGCGCCCACAGCTGCTCGTGTGCTTAGGGTAACAGTGCTCGTATCCCGGGCTAGAGTTCACCACCTAGGAGCGGACCTGGTCTGAACAGCAGGAGCTCGGACGCAGCCGCCGGGTGACTGGTGGGAGCTGCCGCGCGAGAGAGGAAGGGGTCGGCGCGCCAGGCAGAGGCCGAGGCCGGGTCGCAGGTGGTGGGGCGGGCGGCAAGTCGCCTTACCTTGAGGATGTCCTGCAGCT